CCTTTGCTCTTTGGAAGCAACATGCACACAGAAATGTGAACCTTTTCTTTTCCACACTCATATAGAAATGTTACAGCCCAGCCAAAGTGTTGGTTTTTATCTCATCCTGAGTGGATGAATTGTACATAATCTGTAATTAAAGTTTGGTGAGAAATAGTTTCTGGGCTACATAGACCAAAATAATCCAAGTTAAGTTTGGGCCTGAATCTCAGGGGTGACCAAGATGGAGTCTGGGGTGGGATGCCCGTCTCACCCCCCCTACAGACTACACACTGCAGCGACCTAAAGCAGCATTAAATCCTGCTGGGATGTTCATTAAGCTGCTGCTTTAGCCCCTGGGGACTGGCGGTGGCATATGGCTGCAGCCCCACCCCAATTAGAATTAAAGCCACAGTACCACTAAACCTCCAACATGTGGGGGGCTGATGGTGGCTGTGGCTGATTACTGACGGGCCAAAGTGCTCTCCTGTTGGTGCTTAACCGTGGTGAACCACTCTGCAGTCCTGTGTGGTGTGACTGGTAAATAAACCTTAATGACAAAGCAGAGCGTGAACAGGGGCAGCTTGGACCAAAGCGTCTGTTGCATTCAGAAAGATGAACCTCAGTCACTGCATCTGCTCAGATGACCTTACTGTGACCCTGAAAGTGTAAGAGCTCTCCTTCAGCCAGGAGATCTTTCACTTCTTAAGGAAAGTTGGTTTTAAAATCGTGATGAAATGAATAACTGATGCAAAAATGAACCCATCAGAATCATCAGAGGAAGCAGCAGAGAAGTGACCAAACACACTGACTGAAAGGGTCATGTGAGTTTCTCCACAGCAGCAGAGGTCCGTGTGAAAAGTTGCAGGTCTTAACTAGGGATGAAACTAACAAGTATTTTAATAATTGATTACTCTGATAATTTTTCTTAAAAAAGACGTCTTTCTGCTGATTTTTCATGTAACCACTTAAGATTTGTTTTTATACTATATGACTAAAAAATCTCAGCTGTCTGCAGACAGTGTTTGTGCAGACGGTTTGAACACACACAATACGCCCGAGTATGTAAGAGTTGTAAAGGTGATCTGATGTAGTTCAGGTTTCCCACAAACTGTGAAGTAACCCTTTTATTTACTGGAGATTAGATTAGAAACGACAAATCATTAGCCACTGGTAGTTATCTGGTGTTGGTATTTTCATCCTGCTCATAAATCATTTGAATCTTATCTGTCAGCATTTGTCTCTTCTCTAAAAATAGACAAGATCAATGATAAAAATCAAACCCATTATCTCATCAGAAAAACTGAGGGGTGATGATGAGGACCAGGAGCTTCTCTGTATGTTGAAGTAGTTGTCCACAACGTCATTGATGTGAAAGATCAGAAACTCTAAGCAGCAGCAAGCCGACAACAGAACTGCTGAAACATCTCAGAGTGAGTTGCCACCCAAACAGCAGCAAGATCCCTGCTGATCTCTGCAGAAGTTAGCATGGAAGATAACAGCAGCGATGCAAAGAGCACAAGGAGCGCCTCCGTTTTACAAGGAAGCGCCTGCCGTCTCCTGTCTGTGTTAAAGAGAGGGTAACACAGGAAGAGGTTAGTGTGCTGCACCATCTGCACAATCACACACCAACATGAGCCTCACACCGCCACTTACAGCCTGGATGCTACTCAGAAACACAGGCACAGTTCTGCAGCAGCCGGCTGTTTGTGAGCTGTAGCTGAACTCTAAACACTCTCAGTCAAACAGCACTTAAATCAGCACCAGCAGATGACACACTCCACAAACATCCAACCTCGGCCAGCTGAGTGCTGTGCTTTCTGCAGGACAACCTTCCTGCGTTTCGGGCGACGCTGGGGATTCAAAGACACACCGCTGACCTGGTGTCAGGTGTAAAAAAACAGATCGAATCCTTCTCTGTGGACATGCAAGTTGAACTCAGGGGGAACCTTTCCTCTGCTGTGCTTGACAGAAACATATGGGCTGTTGCTCCAAACAAATCTGCTGCAACTGAGTGAAGATCATAGACTGTTTGTATCTGCGTACAGCTGGACAGATGAGCGAGTTTTATCCTCAGGAACCTGAAGGTGCCAGGAGGCTGCACCAGCCCTGTAGAGCTTCACAAAGCTCCCCCTGTTATCTTGCCTGATTCCTTTTGATTTTTCCATGATGTCAAAAAAGGTGTAGCCTTAAAATACATCAAGCAGTGTGCCTCCACTGGCCTGAAAAGCTGGAAATGAGCTCACAGACTGATGACATCATCACCTGGCCTCTCCAGAGACAGTGCTGTCCAAACCTTTAGCAGCTCGTTAAAGGAACACTATCGCACAAAAATACTTTCATGTTTTTACTTGCCCACAACAAAATAAACACAATAATTTAATGAAAGCTGATTATTAATAGAAAGTAGAGAATAACTTATTGCAGGTTCCACAAAAAAAAATAAATAAATAAATAAATAAAACAAAGGTGGACAGTTTCTTAATTTCTTAGATACAACATCTTGTAATGTTTAGTTTATTCCCCAACTTGCTGTTTTTGTTTTTTGGACTATTTTCCCTTCAGATTCTGTTTATGGTGGTGGCAGAATTATTTTTTCTTCCTTCCTGCTCCTTCATCCAGCTTTCATATTAAAAGCCTTCCCACTTCACAGATATCTGATATAACTCCACCATAAACTTTACAAACATACATTTCAAAGCACAGGTGAAAATGACTGAGAGCTTGTTCTGTCTCCATCACTCCTTTGATCATCATAGTTCTTGGTGACTTTGTTCATTGCCAGCATGCAGTGACAGCCACAAAATGAGTCTGGAGAAACAGGAAGGTGTCAGAAGAAGATCATTTCAGTTCATGTTGTGGTGGGAGAGAGACGGTAGCACATGAAGAAGCCATACTCTGTAACCGTATAATGTTGCAACGCTTAACAAGCTTCATTAGTGCTGCTCTTTCTGCATCTCGGTACCATGAGGCAAACTGGGTTACAACAACAGCGACACATAGGCCTGGAGCTGCTAACATCCAGCTAGCGCTGAGCCAGTGTGTGCTGGTAGAATCACCAGGCCCGGGATGAAACCAGGATAATTACCTCTGCTGTCTGCTGATTTTCTCCTGTGCACAGCGGAAACTCTCAGAGACACCAAGAAGCATCTGAGTCGTACAAGATGATAGGAATCTTTGACTCATTTGCTGCTTCTCACCAGCTTTGCTACAATGCAGCCCACACACACACTCAGGCCCGGGTTCCCACAGAAGGGCTGCATTTGATGTGCTAACGCTGCAAAGCCCTGCTAGGCTTCTTCTGTCACACGTCTTTCCTTTCACTGTGGCACAGCAAAGGCTGGCGCTGTGAAAAAGGCTGAATCACACTCAGAACGGTGACCGGCCCACACTGCACCGCCGCTCACCGACACATGCATGAACACGCGCGTACACACGCACACACACAGGAAACACGCCGCATCACGAATACACCTTCTGAGAGTGGAAGACGCAGCTGGAACCCCTCCATCAAGTTACTCACACTCAGTTCTAATTCCCATCACCACGATTAATTGTCCCTGGAATAATAATGTTATTGCTTTCAGACCATGGTCAATATTAGTAAATTAATTAATGATAACCATATTATTATCACTAACTAAAAAAAAATCTCTGGAGTTTTTTGACTGATTTAGGATCATGTTGATGAGATGAATCCAAAAATCACATTGGTTTTTCTTTTTGAATTATTGAACAACATGAGCATCAAAATGCAGGACTTGTTCTCACATCTGGAGAATCTGGGATCAATGAAGAGCAGGAGGAGAGATACTATTAAGACAGAAAAGAAATGGAGAATTTTACACAATGCAGACAAAATGTTCAATTTACATGTTCTTATCAGTGTTATTCAATTTACAGAAATCCAAGTTTGTAACATTTAATTAATACATTCTGTTAGAAAACATTTTTTTCTTCCTAAAACCTTTTTTTGGATAATAAATATTGATGGAAATAAACTGATAACGTCACAAAAATCTAATCAATTTAATCAAAAGATCAGATCTTCTGACAAAAAAAAACCTGATTGAGAAAAATGGATCATTTTTGGATTCAGTGGTGCAAAATAATCCTAATTCAGTTGAAAAAACAAAGACAGCTTCCAAAAAATATTTTTGAAGCCCAGTGTTATTGGTCTTTGGGAGTTTGTTCTCTTAAAGACCAATACATTTTTGTAAAGAATAGTTAATCAGAAGTGAGATTTTAAATATCCAAAATAAAACACAACCAAAAACAAAAAATAAAATGTAAAAAAAAAAAACTACAAAAAACAACTTACAACCAAAGTTATAATAAAATGGATCATAATGTCCAAATCAGAGGGAGCTTGTAATGTCCACACAGATTTCCAGTAATTAAAGTCTGCACTTCGTGTTCCAAAAGAGCACAATCACAGAGCATTCACTCTGAGAACACACTAACCCGTTCCCTCGAAGAAATTTGGATAAGTTTCCTTTCTGCCTCCGTCTATTCCTCAGACTGGTTTTCATCTAGTGAAAAAGTCAGAGTGGAGGGGAGATGAGGATGAAATCCAGACAGCCTACAGCAGAGGAGGGATGGAGTGCGTTGTTCGCAGCTGACCTCACATCAGGTCTCTGGACACTGGGACAGGTTGACCTTACTGACCTTTACCAAAGGCAGCAAGAAAACATGGAGCTCCAAGTCACAAGTGAATACAATGCCTGAGCTTTTAGCTTATTGTATCTGCTGACCTGTGAGTGGAACTCCATGAAAGCTACTTCAGTAAGAGGATCGAACCTTTTGTGAAGCACAGCCTCCTCAAACACACTAACGTCCAACAGGTATGGAGGGAGCAGCAGGCCAACAATCTCTGACCAACATCCCTTTAAAAAAACAACACAGACTCTCTCCAGAAGGAGCGGCATGACCGTCTGATGCTGCTGTTCGCCTTGTCAGTCAGACCACATGGCAACAAACATGTCTGGCTTTCTGGATTGTGTGTGTGTTAAGAGTCATACCTCTGGTTTATCCGCCGTATCAGGATCTTTATTTCCTCCACATTGCTTTGTGCACCGCCAAAAAAAAAAAAAAAAAAGACACACAGGCCCTGCGAAGCACAAAAGAGATCAATTATTCATTTTTATATTTCAATAAAATATAAAAAATCATCTCGTGTGTGCCAGTAGCAGCTACTCGTCACTTCTTTGTGAAAACGGAACGTGCTACTGTCTTTTTGCCCCACAATGCTTTGGGAAGGCCAGGGCCTGCCGGAGCCGCTGCTCCAGCCTTGTATCTTGGATTACAGAGTTTCCAGGTTACACAGGAGAAGACAGACATAGAAGCCAAGTGAAGGCAGATTAGAGCAGCTGGGATGAACAATCCCATCCACAGGGGAGAATAAAAAAAATCCCACCAACATGGACACATGTCAGCACCAATGAGGCCGCCGGATTTCATCTGGTAAACGACAGGTAGCAGCAGAGCATGCACTGGTTGCCAGCATGTTAAAACCTCGTCCAATGTTTGAAAAGATCAGTGCAAAATGGTGCGCACCACAACAGCACTTTATTTATCACTGAAGAGGAGAGAGAAGAGAGCATTTTGAAAAACAATCTTAAAGTTTATGCTTTTTTTCCACAGACGTCCTACCTGGAGGCAGTGCCTGTTTTCCTGTCTGAGCCTAACGATGAATGTATTTAGAAGGACATGTTTATTTACAGACTTCATAATCTGTTTTATTTGTCTTTGGTTTATTTACTTATTTTGGATATTTAAAATGTGCAAACATCTTTTCATTCGAAGTAAAAGAAACTTACAAGTAACGTTTGAGCAAAATAAAAACTTTTTTTAAGCCAATAATTATTTAATATAAATGGTAGTTTCACTGGCCATTTTAAAATGGCATATCATATATCGTCACAAAAATGTTTTGATCAATATTGAAGAATTATGGATTAAAACAATCTCTTATATCTTCTTGCAGTGTGGTTGGTTTGCCTGGCGCCTCTATCCTGACCTCATCTGTCCAAACAACATTGCTCCAAAAGTTTTGTGGACCCGTGACTATCAGCGAAATTTACTGGGACGCACTTCTTGGAGGAAGTTCAGTGTTTTGCACAATCTTTTGAGTGATAAAGAAACTGAAACTACACTTAGTGATGCAGTTCTGATGCATTTTGAGCTTCAAAAATGTAGTGAAAGTGACTTAAAGTATTCCACTGTGTTCTGGAAAGACTTTCAATCAGAATGAGAATCAAATGTTTATTATATAATCTGTATTCCAGCATAACTTGTACACATATTATTCTCCAAAAAGCTTAAACTTTCAGTTAATTTTTGAGTCTATTCCGGTCCAGCAGACTCCCCGATTGCTTTCACAAACTCCCTGGAACAAAGCGGCAGAAAATAAAAGGAAATTTATGATGTGCACAGATGGCAACTTTTGTTCAGAAGATAAAGTTTTCAGCCGCTGCCAGCTGAGTGGGCACAGTGAAGACATTGTATGGCAGGAGGGGGAGGGTCAACTGCACAGCCTGCCACCCAGCTGACCTTTATTTACAAAAGATGCGCTGTCACTGCTGCCAAATATGCTCAAAGTCATTCGCCACTGATTTGACTTTAAAGCTCAGTGTCGCTAATCTAATTTAATCTGCCCTTGTAGATTCACCGTTAGCCGGAGCAGAGCATTAATGGAGGCAAGATTACGAGCCAGATTTGCTGTAATGCAGCAGCAGACACCTGCACAGAGAGTTGCTGCTGCTGGTTTGTTTGTGAGGGTCTTTCACATGAGCTCTTCCTGTTTTTGGCTGAATGATGCAGAAGCATACAAGTAAGGCCGGAGGAACTCACTTACACTGAGGACACGAGAGAGAGAGACGGAGGGAGATAAAGAGAGAAAACACAGAAATAAGGAGACAACAGGATGAGGTGCTGTGAATTTGGTTTGACAAGTTTTCTCTCCAGACTGTGGTGAAGCGTTCTCACATATCGACATCAGACATGTGGACTGCAGAGTGGCAAAGTGCCATATCAGAACCATCTGAAAGCTTTCCAGACTTTACAAATTAAAATCTGAAAGCTGTGGCTTACATCAACCTAACAATTGCTTTCCTACACAATTCCACTTGATTATCATCTCCCTTCAGTTTACTATCTGGGCTTTCTTCCATTGACATGGATTTCTACTGTAGATTTACTTTTGACGAGGCCAATCAGCAAACGGAAGGAGAAGTTGTGATCGATGATGCAGATTTTTTAGAATTGTAGTCTGCCTGTAGTTTTAGCAACGGCAGTAGTGGAAGTCAATGAAGCCGTTCAGTTCATGATGGTCATGCTTATAAATATTGAATTACCATTAACAGCCACTTCGTTCAGCTCTCCACTTTTCACAGTGGAGAATGACTGTTAACATTGAGCTGACCCGTGACTATCAGCAAAATTTACTGGGACGCACTTCTTGGAGGAAGTTCAGTTCGTCAGCTTCAAAGTGTCAAACTGCCGCTGTACATACATCATAATCAAACGCTAGTGATTGGAAGCAATTGTTTCTCAATATCCGGCGGTTCAGACACTTTGTGTGAAGCAAAGTGCAGAGCAAGGGGTTGCTTTTTACCAGGCTAAGCATACATTTGTATTCGGTTTAAGGGCTCAAAACATGGAAGGCAACATTGGTTCCTCTCCGTCGTGATGAGGCGACAATCTCTTGCCCTCCTCAAGCCAAACTACCAGCAAAATTGGTCTATGTAAAATTTGGAGCTGGTACATGGGGGCTAGTGATGGAACACAAGAAAGTTGAAAAGGATGTCACTGCTGTCACCATCATGTCTCATATGTTTGGCCAAACCCACCACCTTTCCCCAACACTTGAAATCGCAGCAGGTCCACTTCAAGTACCTGTGCAGGGTGAAGTACGCCTGAGTATGTAGGGGCCTTTAGAGATCATTGATGAGCAAAAAGCATCATAAAAACCAAGGAACACAGCAGGCAGGAAGGAGTGGAAGATGTGGTGAAGCTTAAACTCAATATCCAAAGCTCTAACCATCTCCCAGAGTTCTGTCCAATCCATCACCTGAACAAGGAGAGAGGACAGGGCAACTGGAGACCTACCAAAACATAGACCACCTCAAGTGAAGCACAGAACGTGGAAAACACTGCCCTGTATGCAAAACTCTTAGTGGTGGAAAACGATCACCTCACATCAATCCTGAAATCTTCACCCCCTAACAAAGCATGGTAGGGGCAGTGTCAGGCTGTGGGGCGGCTTTTCTTTAGCAGGGATATTGGTCTGAGCTCGGAACAGGTGAGTATTGGAAGAAATTATGTGACAGGCAGGAAAATATTTGAGACTTCGGCAGAGGTTCACATTCCAGTGAGAAGCATTTTAAAATGGCCTAGTAAAAGTCCACACCCATGCAATTAGAGGGCCTGAATAAAAATATGAAAGTGTCATACAAATAATAGTAAAAATGATAATCATCATCCATTTCCTCTCATTTTACAATCATGCCCTGAAGTTGAACATTTGGATATTGTTCTTATTCTAAGGCTTTTTAGCTTCAGTAATTGAAGTCTTCATTAGCATTAGAAAAGCATCGCTGCCATTTGTCTGCTTCACGCCTGTGTTCTCACTGTGTCGGTCCGGACAGACATGGTGAGGGGCCACTGCGCCGACTCCTTTCAGAAGCAGACCCCTCTGGTTAAACATAAAGCCAGAGCAGCTGCAGGGGGTGAGGAGAGGAGAAGAGGAGGGGGCTTTGGTTTATAGTTCTTGAGCCTCGGAGCCGTCACAAGGCACTCCATGCCACAACAAGCCATCTCATTCTGCCCTGCTGCAGATCCAGTCAGATGTGTGGGCTGCTCAGATGGCTGAACACAGCAGGACTCAGGGAACAGAGCCCAGACTCTAGGTGTCCAGGGGCCAAAGGGTACCAAACATTTTCACTTTATAAAAGCACCATGTATTAAAAGAATTTCAATGATGGTTAAATACATTTGATTGATGAAAGGTGGAACATCTGGTCATTTCTATGTGTAAAAAAAATTACATTTATCAAAAAAAAAAAAGTTTTCTCCTGGCAAAACATTGAATCAGCAGGCCAAACTTTATTGGGGTGGGGATTTCTAGCAAACAGAAACAAATGAAAAAGACATTAGTCACCGTTTTCTTTATCCTGACCTTTAACCAGATTGGACATCTGGGGTTCTGAACTGTGTGGTAAATGGTTGCTTGCTACAACCTTGGTTTGTTTAACCATTCCAAAACCAGCATTTCAGAAGAAGTCCAAATCTTTTCATATGGAGTCAGTGTTCCAGAGAAACAGAACGGTTATCTGAATTCCTGGAGGCAGAATTAATGGGGAAGCATTTCAGTCACAAGATGAGCTGGAACTTCTGTATTTCTGTAATCTGCCAGAAAAGTGAGTCACCAACAACTGAATAAGCTCTTTGTAAAACACATGCTTACCAAGCACTGGTGCAACATTTCTTTATAATATGTGAGCAACACTGAATCTTTTTACATGGAAACAATAACTTGAAACTTTAATATGACAGTTCAGCATTCAACCAATTCTCTAGCCAGTCTGTCAGAGAACAGCAGCAGAGAAACCCATATGCAAATTTGAGATCGCCATCTGATATTAATAGAGCTGCTCCGGCTGATAAAATGTATTTACCAATATTGCACATTTATTTCAGTTCTTCCAGGATGTTACAATGTTTTTGTTTTTTTTGCAGCCTAAAATGACTGATTCTGTGACACCTTTTTCATCAAATTGTCAAAGTTGTCATTTTTCTTAAGCTTTATTTTTATCACAACATGGTCCAACAAAAAAGATTAAAGTGCTGCACATATTCTTCCCAGAAAGACACAATTTCAATAATTGTTTCTATTTAAAATGTAAATGGCATTTTCTAGCGCCTTATTGAATTATCAGCCTTAATAAGAAGGAAGAAGAATTTCATATTGATCATTAAGGCTAATATAAACTGTATGCGCGGTATAAGCAAATCCTACAGAATAGTTTTATTTATCAGATAATTACAAACATGTAAAAAAAAAGTTAATATCAGAAGACAACATCCATTTTTTGTGCTGATTTGCATCTC